TTAAAAAGCGGTTCAATTTAAATTGTAATGTAACTCTAATTTTTACTATTTCAATATAACAAGTATCCAAAAATGTTTGTTAGCAAATAAATTTAATGCAATAAATTATTGTAGATATAAATGTTAAAATGTATCGTTTCATGCTGAAAATTCGAAATATTTTTTTTAACATATAAAATTAGCGATTTAAATGTAAGCAGTACGAAACGGAATTGAAAAATTAAATTGATTTTTGTGCTAAAAATATTTTGGTAAAAAGAAAATAAAGAAGAGAAGTGGAAGAATTTGGTAGTGAATAGTGGTTGCAAATATGAATCATTGCGGTAACCTACGATCAAGTAAAATGAATGTTTTGGGGTGGAAATATTTGATGAAATGATAGAGTAAAGATCGCTTAATTGTGGAAGAATAAATTGAAAATAAAAACAGTTGAAATGATGATTTAAAACAAGTCAAGTAAGATTTAATGGGCAAATATTAACAAATAAAATATATTTATACAAAATTATGCCTATATTTATTCTGCTAATTATTTTGCATATATTTTCATAATTATCTGCTTTTATTTTACTTTTGCTTAGCGCTTTATGGGTAATAATTGATACACGACCATAATATTTATAAAATTTTTGAAATTACTTCAAAACTTACACAGTTACTTTAGTATATTTTTTAATAAACTGCACGATAAGTTATAATGTTAATGCAAAAGTTGATGAGTACATTTCTGTATTGTTCATAATCTGCAACATTTAGTAGAACAATTTAAAAAATAAATGTATTGAAAATATGATTTTGTAACTTTTAACTTTAATTTTATTTTTGAGAATGTTGATTAGAATTCATGTTCAATAACTTCTTCCTTTTGAAAGTTTTTTTTTTTTTAATATGAATTATTTGTATTTCCGGTAATTTGGTGGCAAAATGAATGAAAATGAATGAAGAAATAAATAATTCAAGTAATTTACTTACATCACAATGATACACAGTAATACAATTAAACAAAAAAGCCAGAGCTTATTATGTAAATATTTACATAATAAACACTGGCATCACATTTGTATACTGAAGTATTTATCAAAGTTTTTAATGATATTCAAAAGACTAAAACGTTTTCTTTTTTAATTTTATAGTTTATTCCTACTGAACGAATCTAATTTAAGTTTGATAGCCAAACTTCTGGTCCCAATGTTTGAAAAAAAAAAATGAAAAATTATATAAAAAGACGAAATTCAATCAAAGAAGCAAAATTTTTTTCTGAAATTTAAAATAAATCATTATAGAAAATTTTGAATTTTTTATTGAAAATTATAAAAATTGATATAAATATTTTACTAAGTGAAAAAATGTAAATTGTTAAAGAATGACATTTTTTTTTTTAGTGTCGATTAGAATGTTACACTATCAAGCAATTTTGTTCAGTCCATTCGCATGTTTAACATATATTTCTTTCTATTACCTGCAATTAATCAAGAAAAAAGAAATGGTGATAATACCAAAGGTAAATTAGTGATGTTTACTTCCAAAAAATGAATTTAGAAAGAAATAGAAATTGATAAACGACGAATTTTAATTTTGTCTAACTTTTTATTTTAATAAAAAATTATGGTCCATAAAAGCGAAGATAAATGTGTGAATTTTTCATCGTTTACCGTTTTCCTTTATCAAATTTTTTACACAAATAATAAAATATCTGATAAAATGAGAAATTTTTTTTTCAAAAAATAAAAAATAAAAACATCGATTGCCATATTACATAATTAAAATCGTAGTGTAATACGATATTTTTGTTTTATAAACGCGTTCTATTTATCGATTCCATATTCTAACTGTAAATAATTTACAACAATAATAAACAATTTTACAATTCATTTTGAGCAAAACTTTTTTTGTATATCAATCTCAGAAAATATAATTCTTTTTATTAAAATATTTGCAATTATTAATTTTAAGTACATCGAGTTTATCTCTGTTATGTAATCATACGTGTAATTTTCGGATAAATATGTTTGATAAAATTATCAATGATAATTTTCTGTTATTCCAGAAAATTTCATCCAATGATTTTTTCTTTTTTTTTAATTTTGTTTTTCAATTTTTTATTTTAAAGATTTTCCTATTTCAAAATTTTTTTTTTCATTTTCAATTTTCTTTTTACTTCTCTCTATTTTTTCTTGCTTTTTGTGGAAGGAAATATTTTATTAATGCTCAAAAATCATTCATGACGCACAATTTAATAATCAAAATAATTTGAAGTTCAGTTATCTCATTTTAATCTCCTGTTTCATGTACAAAGTTCACTTTGTAACATTGTAAATAATTTAATATTTCTGATGCTTTAGTATTAATGCTAATGTATTTTAATTAACAGTGTACTTTTTCACTATTACAAATTGCACGTTTTATTATAAATTGCATGTTTTTTTCGACCAACCTCATTTGCAATATAATATTATCGATTGCATTAAATTTCGTGTTTTTTTCTATTTATTACACCATTTTTGTCAATTTTATTAATTACATTCATTTTTACTAATCTTTTATTTGCTGATTACTTTTTAATTCAACTTTTCAGAAAGCTTTCAAGATTATTTCAACTTGTGGCATTTATTGCATGTCTTTTCGCTCATTCCATCCATTACATGTAACTCTGATTTATTTCATTCCATAAATATGTCAACAGGTAAAAAAAAAATTAACGCATAACAATTGCATTTTTCAAATTAATAAACTGCTAACAATTAATAATTTCATTTCTGGGATGAAATTTTTAGAGTTAGTCGAACTAAGCTTCAAATTCAATAAATTTCTGTCATATATTGTATGACTTAATTAATGATTATAATTATAATCTTCTGCCACTAATAATTCGTCAAACATATATCACTTTGTAACATTGTAAATAACTTAGCATTTCTGATGCTTTAGTATCAATGCTAATGTATTTTAATTAACAGTATACTTTTCACTATTAAAAATTCCACGTTTTATTACAAATTGCATGTTTTCTTCGATTAACCTCACTTGCAATATAATATTATCAACCTTACTTACAATATAATATGATGATGTACTTATACGATCTTTCTTAATTAGTGCTACGGGATGCTCAGCAACGATAGAATTTGCATATTTTAAATCACATCAAATATAATCGCTTCGGAAGGGAATGAATTCGGTAACTGCAACACAAGAAAAGATGAGAAAATTCAATTGTTTTCCATTCATCGCTGCGATCATTTGTTCAACTTCGTAAATAACATTTACTCAACTTCATAATTAACATCGGTTATTTAAATTTGCAAATAGTTTGGAAATTTTGCGAAATTTCAAGACATAGAAAAAGAAGCCTCGTGAAACGCTGAAAGAGCATTATTTACAGTCACTTAGGCATCAAAGATTAAAATGAATAATAATTTGATATTAATTTTAAAATTCGTTCATAAGAAGGTTAATAGATATAAAAAACTAGTTGTTTCAAGTTTAAAAAAAAAAAGCAAAATTGAATAACAAAAATAGTGATCAATCATCTATATATCAAAAATCTAAGCAAATAAAATTTCAAGTCAATACGAAAATTAATCATTCAGTTGACAAAAATTCTTATAATATAGATTTCTGCAAAATGTTTTAATGATTTCAAGATGTTCATATCATAAGATTATTTCAGCTTTTTAACATTCTCGACCAACAAAAATTGTGCATGAAAAATTTGAAATTTAGAATGAAAAATATTTTGTTTGACGATATTTTTTGTTCACTTCTGCTCAGTCTAGAAGTTTATAGCTCACTTCCTGAGTATAGCTACATTATCTCCTTGATTTGAAGTTTCAATATGACAGATAAAGAATAAATTAAAATCAATTCGATTTCCATCTTGATAATTATCACATAACTGATATTAAAAATATTTATGCCAATAATAATTAACTTCCAATACGCAGTAAATTGTGTAAATTCTTCTTGCATTAATTCAGTAATCCTATCGAATTCATTTTTCAGCTCTTCTGCTTTTACTAGCCGACAAGCCGATTGCTTAACTAGCTATTCTTCTTGCTAGCCGATTCGATCCTTTGCTAATGAGACAGTGAATTTGATTGTTTTTTGTTTATGCATCAGTATCACCATTTCTGCATTTATTTTTTCATTTGCAAATTTATTACTACTCCTCCTTTAAATTTGATCATTTCTGAATCGAAAATTTTAAATTTACAAGCAATGATTAGCATTTTCTGTTTAATTCTTCTGACTATTACATTATGCTTTTATAAAGTCAAATTTTCAGCCAATATTGGATTGAAGTGACAATTATTCAATTAATAATAGCACATTATTCCGATTGTGACATTTTTTAATAATTAAGTTATTGGAATTCGTGTAAAATGTTGAAAACATTTTTGGAATGTCACATTTTCGAACCGGATATTTTGTCCGAATTGATTTTCATCATAATATTTTCATTACCAAAATACAATTTTAATCAAAATTTGAAAAACGATCATACATTTTATCAAGAACGTTAAATTATGATAAACAAGTGTGCGATAATCTTTATTATAATTGTTTAACTTTCAACAAATATATCGAACTGTCGTATTTTCGATAAAACGTTTAGATTTGTTGCGAGTATTTGTCTACGATTATCAAAATTCAATTTGTACGACTTTTACATTTCAGCAGAATTATGACTTCAAGTTTAATTGTTATATGAAATCATTTCTAGCCATAAAATGACTGCAATTATCATCTGTAATAAGAATCTATAATTACTCATTTTGAAACTAAAATAAGCCAAGTCTGCGCAATTTTGCTCATTCTAATTTCTTCCAAAAATATACGCACGATTTTCAGGAGAGTCATGAAAATTCGTTAATTTTATTCATAAATTATTTTATACACTTTCTAGAAATGTTTCACTGGGAAATATTTCACAAAGTACACTGCTGTATGATAAAATTGATGCTTTCGATAACTCAGACAAATTACTTTGCCCGTTGCCTTCATCTGCGTCCCATTGGTCCGTCGTCTCCTTGTGGTCCCAGCTCACCTTTCAATCCTTTTGGCCCCACCGGTCCCCTATCACCTGTCTCACCTTGATCTCCTGGTGGTCCTGGCTCTCCTCTTTCTCCAGTTGGGCCAATATTCCCCGGAGGTCCTGGTGGTCCTTCACGTCCTTCTCGACCATCTTTTCCTGGTTGTCCTGGAGGTGCTCCTAATCCTCCTATCAGTGATGAGGGACAAGCCTGAAAACAAAATTTGTAAATAATTTCACTTTAGGTATAATTTTTCTGACTTAGAACTAATACATTGCTGGACTTACTTGAATCACAAAAACAGTGCAAATAACCAATA